AAAAGAAAGAAAGAAAGAGAAAGAAAGAAAGAAAGAAAAAGAAAGGAAGGAAGAAAGAAAAAGAAAGAGGGAGAAAGGAAGAGGCCTAAATGTCTTCAAAGCATTAGGAGGAGGGCCTAAGGTGCTCAAGGGAAGTGGGTCGGTGTGAGGCTAGCAGAAAGGCGGGTTGCTGGGGACAGGGCAGGACGTCCCTGGGCAGCCGCGCGGCGCCTGGCTCATAGTAGGTGCTTATTCAAACGCGCTGAACGAATGAATGAGAGGCGCGGCCGGCATTAGCGCGGCCCCACTGCCGGCCCGCCGCGCTGGCGGGCAAGGTCCAAGGAGAAGTGCGAGGCGCAGAGCAGAGGGCGCCCAAGGCCCTGCGTCCCCGTCGCGCGCGAGCTCCCGCGGCCGGTTCCGACCACGGCCTGGCGCGGGGGCGACGGGCCCGCAGGAGGCAGGCCCCCGGGCGCAGGCCGGCCTTCCCCTCTCCCCTCTCCCCGCCGTCCGGCAGCCTCGGAGGCCGCACACGGCCCAGGCCGGCCCCGGGCGCCAGGTGCGCGGCGGCCGGGGCAAGGTGACCGCAGGCTCGAGCCCGGCGCCCACCTTCTGAGCGGCGCGCACGTTGTCCTCGCCGAACAGGCTGCTGACGCTCTGCGAGAAGGTGTTGACCGCGCGGCGGTAGGTGTTCTTCTCGTTGCCGCCGCGGCCCCGCGCCCCCTGCGCGCCCGGGGCCAGCAGCCCGAGCAGCAGCAGCAGCAGCAGCAGCAGGAGCCCAGCCCGGGCCCGGGGCCCGCCCGAGGCGCGCGCGCCCATCCTGGGGCCGGCTGGATGTGGGGTCGGGAGCGGGGCTGAGGGCCGCACCGGGGACGCCGCGGCTCGGGCGGGGGGACCGCGTTGGCGCGCTGGTGGGGCCGCCCGCCGCGCCTCTGTCAGCAGCCGCCGCCGCTGTCGCAGCGCCACCTGCCCCGCCCCGCGCGCCGAGCCGCGACGGCCCAGCCCACGCCTCGCCCCGCCCCCCGGACGCGGGTCCGGGCCGTCTACCCGCCAACGTCTCCGCGAGGGGCGGCGGAGGCCGGAGGCTGCTCGGTCTCCCCGCCCCCGCTGAGTGGGGGGTGGGGGGGTAACCTTTTATTTAAAAAATACCAATTTTAATGTTTAACTTTTCGGTAAAAAGCGGCCGGTGCAGGTAAAACTTGGCAACGGCCTCAGCGAGGATCCTGACCGCCATTGATTGGAGAACCAGATACAAACATGTCACTGAGTTGATAACGATCCCCAATCCTCGGCCACCGTTGGCGATGGCAAGGGCTCCGGCTCACCCATTCATCCATTCTGAAATTTTTGAAAGGGGAAGCAGCGAGCGGATATCCCTCCTGCCCCTCCTGAACGAGCTGTAATTCAGCGTCACAAAACAGGCGAGGAGGGGAAGTTTTCGGAAGATTAAGTCCAGCTGGTTCAAAAGGAGGGCGCGAGAGTGTTAGAAAATCACGTCACACCCCGTTAGTGAAATGATGGATGCAGCAGGAGGCTGAAACCCAGAAGGGGACTGACTGGTCGCGGCAGAACTTGAAAATGGAGAGGCCACGCCGTCTTGACCTGGGCGCGCCCGGCCCTAGTAGCAGGAAGTCACCTGGCCCCACTTAGGATGGATTCTTGCCAAAACACTTTGAACCCTCACCGGATCTGACCTCTCCATCTAACCCACAGTTTGCAGGAAATATGGGGGTTGGAGGAGAAAATGAGAAGCCTTGAGTGAAATCCAGAATGTGGAGCATTCTACGGGGCAAACGACCCAGTTTCTTCAATAAGTAAATGGTATAAAAGTGTAGGAGGGTGACTGATTTTAAAAGACTGAAGGGCCATCACTAACCAAATGCGGCAGAAGGGCCTGAAACAAACTGTGTCCAACCACACATTATTTTTGAGACAGTCAGGAAAATAAAACTTAACCTTTGCCAAGCCGAAGAGTGAAACATTGTATCTTATTTTTGAACTTACCTTTCTCTGGATTCCTGGTGACATTTTTGCATATTAATTGGCCACATTAAGTTCTTATTTTTTTATTATTTTTTATTTTATTTTTAATAAACATATAATATGTTTTTATCCCTAAGTTCTTATTTTTTAGGAAAACTTTTTTCCTGAGGTATAGCGTACAAACAGAAAAACACCCAAATCATAAGGTGATTTTTTATGAATTTAAACAACACACGAAGGTAACCAGCACCCAGACTATTACCAGCTTCCCAGGAAAGCTCCCTTTGTCCTCTGCCACTCACTATTTCCCCTCCAAAATTTAGGGAATTTATTTTGCCTGTTTTTGAACTTGATGTATATGGGATCACAGAGTATGCTTTTCTGTGATTGGTCTCCTTTTTCAACATATTTATGAGAGCTATGTTGTTGGGTATAGGTCTCTTTCATTATATCTTCTGGAGATAATCCTTTGGTATTTAATATTTTAGAAAATACAGTAGAATGTATTATTACCTACTTAGCTTTAAAATGGACACGCTTTTTATTTACTTAGAGATATTTAAGGGAAAACTGCAGACCACTATCATTCTAAGCTATCAAACCCACAAAACCAGAGGTTTGCTATGTTAATTATTCTTTTCCCCCCAAAATCCATTTAAATTAATATATAACTTTATAAATATGTTCACACATACACTACCTACGTCCCCTCATGCACCACCTGCGTATGTGCATGTCTGTCATTTTGTTTTTGCTTTTCTTTTGGGGGGGCAGGAGGGAAGCTTATGCAATCACACTCTCCGTTCATTCATTCATTCATTCCTACATTCAATAACTTACTGCTTATCTACTCTGCAGCCAGATCTCCTTCTAGGTTCCTTTTAAAATTCCAAAATAAACCCTAGTGCCTCCCTCCCCCCATAATATATTTTAAATGTCTGCCCTTAACAAATGAACGATTTTAACAGAAAAAAAAAAAGCCGATATAATTGTTCTATATGCAAGATAATTACAGGATCCAGAAAATACATTATTTCTGAGTGCGCTGCAGATAATGTGATGGGGTAATGAGAGTTTAAAGCCGCCTAATGGATGCTTTCTTCTCTTAGTGCTTCTGCCCTGTAATGGAAACATTTGTGCCTTTTCACTACACAACTAATTACGTCTCTTACAGGAATATCAGAAAGTGCAGATGAGCAAAAACAAAAGGGAAGAAGTTTGCAGTGGGGGGGGGTTATATTTTAAAAGGCGACTAAACAGTCCCAATCCCAAATTAGTATTAGCAAATAACAGATTTAGAGACTCAGCCGCATCAGGCGCGAAGTACTCAGGGCTTAAACTCAAGTCTCTAAGGCGACCTCAGGCTTCGCTCCCGCTTCTAAATTGGCCCCGCCCGCCTTTCCACAGGCCCCGCCCCTAGACCCGCCCCCCAGGCTCCGGTTATCCTCAGCTCTCGCGAGAACGCAGCCCGGAAGTCTCGTGGCCTGATCCTGGAGTTTGGAGCCCACGTGGGCTGGGCTTCGGGGTTGTTTCTGTCCCCCCCCCCGAACCCGGGCAGTACTGGGCGCTATGGGGAAGCTGCGCCGGCGCTACAACGTCAAGGGGCGCCTGCAGGCGACCCCCGGCCCCTCGAAGGGCCCCCCGGAGCCGCCCCCCGTGCGGCTGGAACTAGAGGGTAAGGCGTCCGGGCCGGACGCTGGGCCCGGGCTGGCCTGCGTCCTGCCTCCGAGACTTTGGGGCGGGGGGACCAGGAGGAACCCCCTCTCAGATGATCCACAGAGGGGGACACCGTGACAGTCTAATTGTAACGGTGAATTTGGGACAATCCCGAGGCTTTCTCCCCTATGGAGTCCGGCACTAGTTTTTAAGTTTTATTTACGTCCTCTCCACGCCCCACGTGGGGCTCGAACTCTGACATCAAGAGTCCCCCGCTCTTCCCACTGAGCCGCCAGAAGCCCTAAGCCCTAGTTTAGTAGCATGGGGAATGTGGGCAAGAAAATGAAGCAATCCCATCTCTTTCTCTGGCTTCTATTAGAATCTCCTTGCTAGTGACCCCTGAATGAGTTTTTTTCAGCCCAAACATTTCTGCCGAGCTCCAGGCTGTTTGACACTTCTGCTCAGATTCCTCCCTGTTGGTAGGAGCGCCCACTGTGTGCCATGATTTGTTGTAGGGGACAGAACAGGAGAGTTCTTTCTGTTTTTTTTTTAATCTCTGCCCTGCTGAGCTCAGATGATTGTGGGAGGAGACACAGCTTCTCTCACTCTTTGCAGCGCAAGGACGGACAAAGCTGGCGGGCGGAGCTAGTGGGAGTCCGACGTAGCCCACACAGAGCCCTGGGGTGGGAGCTGCAGCCTTAGATGGCAGGCAGGACAGGTGCTCCCCAAGGGGCTGCCGCAGGTTGAGTAATAGGGTAGCTGAATTGGGGTCTAGTTTGGGTACTTTCAAACTATGACATTGAAAAGTAAATATAGTAGATATAGGGCACCTGGGTGGCTCAGTGGGTTAAGCCTGACTTAGGCTGGGGTCATGGTCTCAAGGTCCTGGGCTCGAGCCCCGCATGGGGCTCTCAGCTCGGCGGGGAACCTGCTTCCCCCCTCCCTCTGTCTGCCTCTCTGCCGACTTGTGATCTCCATCAAATAAATAAATAAATAAAATCTTTAAAAAAAAAAGTAGATATGGCTTGAACTCAGCATTTAGTGCCCTGCAGAGGCTTTGGATAATGTTGTAGTCTTATGGAAATAGTTTTGACCCCACGTCCACAGAAAGCACGACCCCGTTCTGAGGGGAGCAGTGTTGCAACAGGTTCCCTCCCTGCCCTCCCTTGACCACCATGACAGAGGTGCCCTCACTCACCGCGGAGTCTGACGTGTGGTGGGTGCTGGGCAGACAAGTTGAGGGAACGGTGACGGGCCTGCACCCCCATTCCTGTGTGGGCATTGGGGGGCTCACACATGGGACAGGGGGTGCCCATGAGAGGAGGCACAGAGCTCCCCCGGAGAACATGGCATTAACGTTGACCCTGGAGGACCGCAGGCCTCTGTGGTCTCTGGTCCCTGGGCTGGGGGTTCAGGCATGTGTGTCTTTCCAGATAAAGACACGTTGAAAGGAGTCGATGGAAGCAACGCACTTGTTTTGCCGGGAAAGAAGAAAAAGAAGCCCAAAGCCCCTCCACTGTCAAAGAAGGAGAAGAAGCCTCTGACCAAGAAAGAGCGGAAAATGCTGCAGAAAATCTTAGAACAGAAGGAGAAAAAGAGCCAGGTACGCCTGTTCCATCAGGGTCGGCATACGGCTCCCCACACTGGGGAGAGACGGTGTCTGTGTCCCCTGCTTGTTTTCTGCCACGAATGTCCAGTCAAACTTTCCAGAACGGCAGGGCATGCTTTGTGTCTGCACAATTCCATATAGTAGTCGCTGGGCGTGTGTGGCTAGTATGGTTGGAAAATGGAATTTTTTATGTGATTTAGTTTTAATTTTAATTCGAATGGCCTCTGTGACCAGCAGCCCCCATACCTGACACAGCTCGGGAACCTGCAGACCCTCCAGGGGCCTGCCAAGGAGTCTCGGTCAATCTGGATGCACCCAGCTTTCTTTCTTTCTTTTTTTTTTTTTTTTTTAATATTTTATTTATTTATTTGACAGACAGATCACAAGTAGGCAGAGAAGCAGGCAGAGAGAGAGGAGGAAGCAGGCTCCCTGCTGAGCAGAGAGCCCGATGTGGGGCTCGATCCCAGGACCCTGGGATCATGACCTGAGCAGAAGGCAGAGGCTTAACCCTCTGAGCCACCCAGGCACCCCTGCACCCAGCTTTCTTGAGACCGGATGTTTGTTAATGGGGCAGTCAGCCCATTAGCACGCTCATGTCTTCCTTTTTTGTCCTAATCATTTTGTGTCCCTTATTTTTTAACTTAATTCTGGAG